TATACGCAATGCCAATTGAAAAATAAGTGATTTATGCCGTAAACCCGTATATACTCTGGGCTAACCCCTGCATGTAAGCAGCGCCAACAACATTATGTCTCTTTTAATGTCTGTGGCAACATTTTTGAGTCTGGATCAAACTCCAGGGTTTTTTTTTATTTTCTCACTTGGTTTCCTCTTGGGTAACTTTTCCTCTCACCTGTGCAGTGATGTGGAAGCGTCCCATTGGTTCTAGGCTGGTCCAAGATGCATTCTAATTGGTTACGATTCTTGACAGCTTCACCCGCAGCGTCAAAAACATGGTGGGGAGATTTTAGATCCATCCTGTCAGAGAAAGACAATCTTATTATTGTGACGGAAACTTCTGTTGTTTTTGTTTTTATTATAATTGGTATTATTTTTAATCTTTATTAGGTTTGGCTGTTTTTATTCTTATTGTTGGAGTAGGTTTGATATTACGGATGTTGTAATTGTTGTGTTTAGTTTAGGTTATAGCTTTTCTCATTCCTATACTTTTATTGCTTCCATGAAGCAGAGGAGTTGAATATATTTTATCAAACAAATGTTTCAGGAACTGAACAGAATCTCAAACTCTTGCAGCTCTAATTAAACCATAAACTGAGCGAAATGAATCAGAACCAATGAGGTTGGGACCAGAACTTGATTCTGTTTGTTTAATTAATCCTAAAATAAACCGTTTCTGTTCACATCTGGCTTTAGTAAAGGTTTGGAAAATAAGAACAAGATGTTTGATTCATCTAAAACAGTTTGAAGTCTGAACTCGGCTTCATTTTTCAGGGTTTAATTCGAGCTCCTTGGAACATTTTCCTGATCCGCTTCATGTTCTGATCCGGAACAATCTGGGACGTTTGACCTCACAGGATCTGTTTGGACTCTGAGGATGAACGGCTGCTGCCTTTACCTTCTCCTTCCATCAGGAAACACAAAGAAACTACACGCTTCCACACATGAACCGTTCTGGATCTGGAATGTTCTTAAAGCAACTCAGAGTGTTCAATAAAACAAACAGAAAACAAGCCTGGATTTAGTGTAGAACATGAGTTAGAAAGTCTGGGAGAGCCATCGGAGGAATAAAACTGGACTCTGTTCTGCTGGGATTGAAACAGCGCAGAACCTTCAGCAAATAATCCAGAAAAACCAAGTAAACTGTTCCTCACCTGCAGCTTGGCTCTGCGTTTGCTCCTGCTTGTGTCTCCACAGCTCATGGGTCTGAGGATCGCTGCCGGCAGCCCTTCCTTTAAACCCCCCCACCCCACACGCACACCCACACATGCGAACACACCCACTAGCTGTGACCAAATCTCCTACATGTTTTACTGCAGTTAAATCAGATTAAAATTATTACAGGAAAATAAAGTATAGGTATTGCATAATTTTCAATTCTAATGAGAATTAAGATACATTGAAAATATATATATATATATATTGATATATTTTTAACAGTGTTTGGTGATGTGGCAATAAGAATAATTGTCTTAATGCCAAAAAGAGCCCAGTGGAGCAGTACTTGGGGAGGGGGTCGTTACTAGAGGGTCCCACCTTCTGATGACGACCCCCACCTTAATTTTATTTTGCATTTTAGACACTTAAATCTACAACATTTTCACAACACACATCTATGTAGGGCATTGTCTGGGGGGTTGGGGGTCAAGGGCACCGGGGGGGTGCTGAAGTGACTTTATCTAATCGTTTTGCTAAAGCTTTCCAGATTATTTTAATATCCACATTAATTAAGGATCTGGGACGGTAGCTGGTGGGAAACATAGGATCTTTG